ATTACTCGATTAATCGTAAGAATAATCGATAGATTACTCGATTACTAAAATATTTGTTTACAACAGCCCTACTTTTAACTACTTTGACTTCTGAACCAAGAATTTAAGGATGTTTTAAATATTTCTCTCAAGCTAAAGATAATTTTCTCAAATTAGCTTGACTTGACCAAATAGAAACCATGACTAAACTGGTAAAAACAAATAGGGAAAACAATTCCAGTCGCTTTGTTCAATAATCCCATCCCTCAATTCTGACTTCCATCATGGCGCCTTGAACGATTTAGTGCCTAACTACCTGTCCCCTCTCTGCCTTTGTTTATTTCAAATCCATTGTGAACGGAAGAGTTAGAGGAGCAGCCTCAATCAGAAAAACAACTTTTGGCCAGAAAAGTTTTATTAATGAATCACATCAGTGGGAGTCTAAACTGCCAAGGTAAATAAATACATTTCACAAGAAACAGAGCTGTCCAATATATATATATATATATATATATATATATATATATATATATATATATATATATATATATATATATGTTACATTGTAACAGCCTCTTTTCTCAAGGCCTTTTTTAGATGTAATTGTTCACTTTATATCATTCTTAGGTTACATTTGTTAATGTTAAATATATTTAATTAATGAAGAAATTTAGAAAATAAATGTGTCAGGAACATCTAGACTGATTTGGTTAAGGACAGGATGAGTGTTTCCCTTGTATTGTAACATATTGTTGAGCTTACTGAAAATCTTTCATCACATTGACTGGAATGTTTTTAATGAATCTTTTAATGACAAAATACAAAGTCAAAAAACACTTTGAGAATCCAAAACTAAATCTTTGTTTTAATATACATAAATAATTAAATTTAGTGTTTAGTACTTAACCAAATAAAAGGTGCATGAATGACATCAAAAACTAACAGACACTTTCAGTTCACACTGAGTTTCCTTCTACATAATATTGTCATAACTACAAGAAAATATGAAAACCTCACATTTCACTTTAATAATATTTTCCATTGCGACTGCTTAACTAACTCAAAAATTGCCATCTGTGTATTTTAATATTTTTTTCAAACTTTTAAAACAAAAATACATAAACCATAAAAGTATAAATGCAATTAAGATAGTAGTATTTTAAAATGACATCATGTTAAAAACATACTCGAGCAAACAAAGCATTTAATTTACCTAAAGTATGGAGTTAATCATTCAAATATTCTTCTTTTCCTGTTGTATCATCACGCTTCCTAATCCTAGTTACCGGTCCAGATTTTTAACTCTATTCCAATTTTAGCTACTTTTATTCTCTTCATCAAAGTGTGCTTAATTTCTTGGGTCTTGAAACAGTATATTATCGGGTTGACTGCAGCAGGAAGTAGACTGTACAGCAGGATTAATAAAATGCGAACATCTACACTAAAAGAAAATCCAACAAGGTTAGCTATATAAACAAAGCATCTCGGGAGATAGAAAAGACATGTTATGAATATCTGTGGAGTACAAGTTGCCAGAATTCTGCTGCGTCCTGCAGAATTAGACACTTTTAAAATGACTATAATAACAGAAACATAAGAAATCAGGATAAATACAAGAGGCACCAAGAGACAAAACATAGCGATACAAAGGGTAACAATCTGTGCAATCTTCCGATCATTTCCACATGCCTGATTTGTTATTGAGATGTGGTCACAGTAGCACTGGGTAATGATATTTGATTGACAGTAAGGTAAACTGAGAGCTTGAAATATTATAATCATCATCAAAGGCAGGGGCAAAAACCAAGCAGATCCACAAAGAGCAAATATGATATTGTTTGTGATTAGGACAGGGTATCGCAGTGGGACACAAATTGCTATAAATCTATCAAGAGCCATTACCAGTAACAAAAATGACATCACCGAGCCTAAATAGTGAACAAAGAACATTTGTGTAAAACACTCATAAAATGAAATGATGCTGTTTCCAAACCAATATTTTGATATGATCTTTGGGAGTGTAACAGTCCCAAATGATAAATCAGTCAGAGCAAGGTGACAAAAGACCAAGTATGTAGGTTTTTGAAGAGATTTTTCATAGATGACAAACACCAAGATGAAAATATTTCCTACTAAAATAGCCAGATACACTAGAAAAAGTACAGCTGATGCAGGGCTGTAGTAAGATGGTGAGAGTCCAGGGAACCCAAGGATGAAAAAGTTGTGTATCCTTGTGATGTTTGAGCTGAGCACCATTATCTCAAGTCCCTGTGAAGGAGTGTTATAAATTTATTCATTTTTAATTGCATTTGAAACACAACACAAATTGTAGTTAAAAATACAATTAATCATTATGCATCATCATGACTGAATCTGCTTAACTGTTTAATTTTAAAATACAAATTTTATCTTTTATGTTTCAAAATACTAATTTACAAGAATGCTTTTAGTTTCTGTAAATGAAATTAGCACATTAATGGAGGTGTTATCAATTTAAACCAAACTATGCAGTAATACAATGTCACAATGTTGCACTCATTGTAATATCCAAAAAGGCAAGTACAGTTCGAAATCTCACCTGACTAAGCTAGCTCAGCAGCTGAAGCCTCTGCAAAAGACTGGTTGTCTCTTATATCCAACCAGGTGAATCCTCTTAAGTCTTATTCCCAAATGAACCATAAAAGTTGTCTGACGTTTCGATTGTATTTTTTCTCATCATTCCTAACTCCTTTAAAATGAAAAGTCATAAACCAAGCATAACTTGGATTTAGACTAAAATAGTATTTTAGTTTGATTACAAGAAATGTTTTATTAAAGCTAAGATGACATAAAATAAAGGCGAAAATAAACTGAATGCTGATTTTTGTTAAATGAGAGGTCTTTGTAAATTTGAAAGGAGTAACAGTTGCACTTTGTAGTAGTTATTTATTTATGTATTTATTCTAGTGTCTAAAATTCAATAATTTGCATGTAACTAGTTTTTTATGTCTTATATGATTTTAAAATATTAAGTCACATTTTACTCAGTTACTCATGAGAGTAGTAGCCATTTTACAAAATACTGTTTGTTTTTCTGCAAGTAATTTCTTGGATGGTTACTTTTCACTTTTACTTGAGTAAAAACACTCATGTTACTCATTCTTGAGTACATTTTGAGTACTCTCTGATCATATCGGTGCAATTCTATGCAATCTGCCTGCCAGTCAAACAATACATAAAACATAAACAAAGGTAGCTACAATTCAAACAAATCCAAACAAACAAAACGTTCAGTTGACATGAATGTATTGAATAAGCAGAAAATATTCTTGTTAGTTACCGGTCCAAATTTTTAACTCTATTCCAATTTTAGCTACTTTTATTCTCTTTATCAAAGTGTGCTTTATTTCTTGGGTCTTGAAACAGTATATTATCGGGTTGACTGCAGCAGGAAGTAGACTGTACAGCAGAATTAATAAAATGCGAACATCTACACTAAAAGAAAATCCAACTGTGTTAGCTATATAAACAAAGCACCTAGGGAGATAGAAGAGACATGTTATGAATATTTGTGGCGTACAAGTTGCCAGAATTCTGCTGCGTCCTGCAGAATTAGACATTTTTAAAATGACTATAATAACGGAAACATACGAAATCAGGATAAATGCAAGGGGCACCAAGAGACAAAACATAGCGATACAAAGGGTAACAATCTGTGCAATCTTCCGATCATTTCCACATGCCTGATTTGTTATTGAGATGTGGTCACAGTAGCACTGGGTAATGATATTTGACTGACAGTAAGGTAAACTGAGAGCTTGAAATATTATAATCATCATCAAAGGCAGGGGCAAAAACCAAGCAGATCCACAAAGAGCAAATATGATATTGTTTGTGATTAGGACAGGGTATCGCAGTGGGACACAAATTGCTATAAATCTATCAAGAGCCATTACCAGTAACAAAAATGACATCACTGAGCCTAAATAGTGAACAAAGAACATTTGTGTAAAACACCCATAAAATGAAATAATGCTGTTTCCAAACCAATATTTTGATATGATCTTTGGTAGTGTAACAGTCCCAAATGATAAATCAGTCAGTGCAAGGTGACAAAAGACCAAGTATGTAGGTTTTTGAAGAGATTTTTCATAGATGACAAACACCAAGATGAAAATATTTCCTACTAAAATGGCTAGAAAGACTAAAAAAAGTACAGCTGATGCAGGGCCATAGTAGGATGGTGAGAGTCCAGGGAACCCAACGATGAAAAAGTTGTGTACCCTTGTGATGTTTGAGCTGAGCATCATTATCTCAAGTCCCTGTGAAGGAGTGTTATAAATTTATTCATTTTTAATTGCATTTAAATGTCACCACAACATTAGTAAAGATATAATTAAACTTTATTATCATGCTGCTAAACAATTGAGTTAATTTTTTAAAATAGTATTAACAGTAAAGGTAATTTTACTTATATATAATTACCTATAATTGATGAATAAACTCAATAATGCACATGCAAAATTAACAAATGATATCTGACACTTTGTAATTCAACTCTTTCTATTTTAGAAACAAACTGTCCAGCAAATATTCTTTGCTCACAAGCTTATAGACATAATATAGTCCCTGATGGTAACTGAGAATGTTGTATACAGGAATAGACCAATCTTACCTCAGTAAGGCAGCTCAACAAGTGACAACTTGGAGTAGAGACTGGTTTACAGCTAATATCTGCTCGTTTTATCCAACCAGGTGCATCCTCAGAAGGTCTTATTCCCACATGAACAGTAAAAGTTCTCAGATGTTTTGAATGTGTCTTTTCAAATCATTATTATTGTTCCTATACCCTTAAAAATGACTTTCACTGTGCAAGATTATTCACCTTGTATAAGGTTCTATTTAGACTAAAAGAGTTTTATTTTTGGATTTACAAGCAATGTTTGTTTTTTATAAGGATTTTATGGCCCAAGAGACCTTGGTTGTGACTTGATGGCTGAACAGTAAAAAGGAAAACGAGAAAAAGGGGAGACAGACAGTAAATGGGGAAGGGGGTGAGCACTGGAAATAACCTTTATTGAACTTTCAAAAATTAAAGGTTTGAGAACAACTGGGTTTTAATAGTTCTACTAGTGTAGATCAATCTAATCCAGGTTTGATTAGCCTAAGTTATTCAAATGTTTAAACAGCAGACTAAAGAAGTTAATTGTAGGGCTGTTGTAAACGAATATTTTAGTAATCGAGTAATCTATCGATTATTCTTACGATTAATCGAGTAAT